AAGCCTGCTGAGCCATGCTATGCCAGAAGATTGGCAGAAACCAAGCAGAGCCTGCTGATATGCTATGCCAGCAGATTGGCGGCAAAAACCAAGCAGAGTCTGCTGACATGTTATGCGAACAGATTGGCGGCAAAAATCGAACAGAGTTTGCCCTAACTTCCTTGTTGGATGATTATGCCTTGCATCTAACATAACTACATCTTGCATCATACATAAAAATACGTAAATAATAAATGCATGTTTAAATTTTAATTATGATTTCACTTATATAGAAAGTTTGATAAATTTTGCATGCGAGAAACGGACGCCATCTAGCGGTAGTTTTTCCAATTATTATATTTAAATATGTAATGACAGGCTCTGTTTGGTTTTTGCTGCCAATCTGCTGGCATAGCATGTCGGCACACTTTGCTCGGTTTTTGTTAGCAATCTGCTGGCATAGCATGTCAGCAAGCTTTGTCATATTTTTGAGGAGAGTTTGCTCACATTGTCAGATATTACAGACTCTGTGTACAATTTGTTGCCTTTTTATTATCAAACGGTGATAACAGGCTCTGCTCGGTTTTTGCTAACAATCTGCTGGCATAGCATATCAGCAGGCTTTGTCCTATTTTGAGGGCAGTTTGCTCCCAACGTCAGATATTACAGACTCTGTATGCAATTTGTTGCTTTTTTGCCATCAAATATTGGTAGCAGGCTTTGCTCAAAATCTATTTCTGCAGATTTTGCGGGGTATGTGTTAATATTTTATGTTCAATAAAATTTACATCAAGTTATATTATAACCTTGATGTTATATTTCTCTCGTGTCTCTCATCCTGGATAGACAATTCCGCTATTTTTAACAAGCAAATGGCATTAAAATGATTTAAAGGTAAAGAAATGCTTGACGATTTACAGTCACGAGGGTAATTTACATGTTATAATCTAGTCTGCGTAACAATGTCACATAAGGAATCATTGAAAGACTTTGACCTCGGCCTCAGAAGGACGCGACAGATATAAAGATCCGCGTCGGTAATTGCTACCTCGGTGTCCTGGTGAGAGTAGAGTGTCTTTACTCTTTGTCATTTGCGGCACGATTAACAGCGAGTTTGGCGGCGTCGGTGATACGGTGGAGGTTTGCGGCGATGTAGCAAGTGTCAGATTAGGCAGCGATTGACCTAAACTGGAGTATGGCACTCGGACACTCAGCGTGTTCGGCGTCGGCGATTTACTCATTAACGAGCGTCTGCGTAGATTTATGAATTAGTTAGTTTTAATGAAGAGTTTTAATATTTACCACAAAATCGTGGAAAACGATTTGGCCACCTCACCTCACATGCATAGATCGATGATTATGTCCAGAACTGGATTCACCGCCTTCCTCCGACGACAATGAGCTCGACGCTCGCGGTTGTTCGTTTGTCTCCACGCTGACATTCCTGCTAGGATTGTAGCTCGGTAGAAAGCTGCTGCTGCCCGGAGACGCACCCTCCATCTCCATACTACCACTGGATGACAAAATGTAGTTTTATTGTTCAGTCGCATGAATAATGTTATTTAGAATAGCGTTATTTTGAATTTCGAGACATATTTTTCTTTTTTTGTTAAAACATTTTGTTAAAACAACGTACCTATGACTGTGAGCGAGGCTACTGACATGCGAGGCTCTGCTACTTCCACGTGGAGTTCTCGGGAAAGTACTGTCATATTCTTCTACTTCGAAATCACCATCACCTAATGTGCTCGGCTGCCTGCTGACAGACGCTAGATTCATCACGGGCTCACCGAGCGATGGCACTTTCATCAATGCGAATTGTTGCTGGGCCTGTTTCAAGGATTCTATCCACGACTGGAAAATCACGACATTTCACGACATTAGAATGTCGTGAAATAAACTTCTATTTAAATATTCATTAAGTTAAATTAAGACCTAGGTAACTATTTAGAATAGCCTTGTCACCTCCGATTTTGATAAAATTAGGCTCAATCGACGCGGTTTCGCTCAAAATAAAAGAATCTGGCAGAAAAACGCGATGATCTGCCTCACGAACCGAGATATTAAGGGTGTCTCTCGGCAGCCATATTGAGTTATGACGTCAGAGGCGAGAAATGACATGTAAAAAGTTTCTTGCATCGTATAGCTTTGTCCTATACTTTTTCTTTAAAAACATGATATTTTCGTATTCTTAAAATTTGTAAAAAATACCAGAAAGTAAGATATCTGTCCAATAAATCATGTAAAAGTGTAAAGTAAATCTTAAAATAATGGTACACTGCTTAGCTATCAGAAATTACCAGATCACTAGCTTTAGTTGTTTCTCACCTCTGACATCATAATTCAATATGACTGCAGAGAGACAACCGAGCCTTAAATCATCCATCTCAGAAAGGAGAATCCAAATTCGAATCTCGACTGAAGTAATATTTTCCACAATAAAAATTTCTCATTGAGATTTAACTGAAATTATCGAATTAAAGAAAGGAAGCTTTCAACTGTGATGTTTCAAAGACCGTAAACGGTACATACCCCGATAGCCAAACCTGAAAAGACAGATTATGCGCAAAGTCTGTTATAAATTTCTGATGTTAGAAAGGCAACAGATTGCTAACAGATTCTGTAATATCTGACAATATTAGTAAACTGCTGCCAGAAACTTAACAGAATCTGTTGACATTCTATATTAGCAGATTGGCAACAAAACTCGAGCAGACCCTGCTGCAGGCTACTATCAGATTGGCGGCAGAAAGCGAGCAGGATGTGCGCGACACAATTTGATGGCAGGCTGCAGATCTGCTCAATTTCTGTTGTTAGTCTGCTGACACAGAATGTCAACAAGTTCTGTCAACAGAATGTAAGCAGAATGGGATCAAATGAAGTCAGTCTGCTAACATTTTCTGATTAAATCTATTGCCAGTTTGTCGATTCTGCTAACATTTTGCTGACTGGGTAGTTAGCAAAAAGTATGCCGAAAATGTCCTTTTTTAAATTTAATAAATTAAAAATTAAAAGATTTATAGGTATCAAGAAATCTTTCTCGTGTATATAATATCTGAATTATCTACTTTTTGTTGAACATACTGATTTACATATATTTATTTGTTTACTTTAGCTAATTTTGAATCACCAGCGCTGAGGATTAAAGTGGCCGAGGCTGTTCCGTACTCATTAAGATAAACCAATGCCAGACTGGATGGCTCCTTGACCTCATGTATTCGTATGCGATCGACAACATACGGCTGTCTAATGATCTTCAACATTTTTTTTTGTCGAGGGTTTGCAGATCAACAGCATGTCCGTGAACAGTAATATATGCACTTCCATCTGAAAAAAAAATTAACGAATATCGTACATACAGTTTTTATGAATCATTTTCTATAATGATCTGACAGATTTTTTTGTTTCCTTTTTTAAATACAAAAATAGAGAATGAAATTTCGATAAATTATCTAAGAAAATAGATAAATTGTCATTGTAACATTATTTTTGACATTAATTTGTGATATAATGTTTTAAATATCATTATTGAAAATGACGCAGTCTCTCAATCACATATTTCTACACAAAAAAATATTGTTGAATCAACAGTATTAGTCTAAATGAAAATAATGTTGTTAATTCAATGACATTATTAATGAAACAAATATGCCATGCTCTTGTTTTAATAATCAAGATCTTTGTTTCAATTGTACAATAGTATTTAGAAAATTTTCTTGTATCAATCATATATGTATTCTCTTCAAAGAAACAATTTTTTTATTTCAATTGTATATATAAAAAAAATAAGCTTCTTGGTACGCAGTTCAAAGAATTCAATCAAATTTGTTCTTAATTTTAATACATAATTAATTAATTGAAATTAATGGTACAATAAATTGTGTTACAGTTAATACAACTACCTCATCAGGTTGATACAAATATAATTACTTAATCTATGAAGTTTTGTATATAGCTATATAAATTATTTATTATTCGTTATATTTAAATATATTATTTGAATCATATGCATTACAGTTAGAGACAAGTAAAAACAATTTGATCTGCTTGATACAACTTAAACATATAAAAAATTAATTTGAATCAACGATACAGTCAATTCTGTTGTGATCAATATAATTATATCATCTTAATTCATGAATCTTTTTATATAACTATATTAATTGTGTATTTTATGTTATATTTGAATATATTGTTTTAATCATATGTATTAGAGGCAAGTAAAAATGATTTCATTGATTGCATATATATGTGCTTGATACAATTAAAATATATAAAAGATAATTAATTTGTATCATTGATACGGTCAATAGTTACAATTACAATGTCAATTTAGTTACAATTAATACAATTAATATTAATCTAGTTGGTTTAAATATATATATATATATATATATATG